CTCTGCACTTGGGAGCTTAGGTGGTTTCTCCTTCACTTCGTGCTGCTGACAATGACTGCAGCTCCCAGGCCAGGCAATATCTGAAGTTGAAAGAAGTCAAGTCTGTGTCAGGCCCTGAGTTTACCTACAGGGAATAGTTTTTATTTACTTGAGAGGTTCATCAGCTCTCCCTCCTCCATCTCCATGGAGCCTTCCCTGGACACACAGGCTGGATGCACCCAAGGACCTCATGGGGTTCTGCAGTGTGGGTCTGCCCAAGGTAAAGGAAACCTGCTGGGTTTCTACAGGGCATTTCTTAGCCTGCAAAGGCTGAGCTAGTCTTTAGCTACTCTTTAGCTATCATTTAACAGCTCACATTGCTAAGGAAAGACCAGGGGGTGGCACAGGTGGTCATCTGAGAAGGCTGCAATAATAAACTGCTTTACAAATCCAACTGCTGCTTGGATTGAGAGGACAAGGGGGAAGGGATGAAAACTGGCAGAGAGGAGATTGAGGTGAGACATGAGGAGGGAATTGTGGAGTGTGAGGGTGGTGAGAGCCTGGCCCAGGTTGCCCAGGGAAGCTGTGGCTGCCCCATCCCTGGCAGTGTTGAAGGGCAGGTTGGATGGGGCTTGGAGCAACCTGGGCTGGTGGGAGGTGTCCCTGCCCGTGCAGGGGGTTGGATCTGGATGGTCTTGAAGGTCCCTTCCAACCCAAACCAGTCTGGGATTCTATGATATGATTTTGTGATGCAGGGCACAAAACCATGCCATGAGGCAGTCTTGCTGGCTCACTAAACCTTCACCCCCACCCCAGGAGCTGTGACAAGACCTGCAACAGTAAAATGCACTGGACCTGCCTGCAGTGTTGCCTGGGGACAGGTTTCCCAGCTCAGTGGGCCCACAGGGTGACTGGCCACACTGCAGGGTTCTCACCTGCACTGGGAGCCTGAGCTGGAAGGGAAATCCCGTGGTGGCAAGAATATACATCAGCTTCCTCATTGAGAGCAGGCTGCAAACAAACAAATAAATAAATTAAATGAATGCTGGAAAAGAATAATGACCAGATCACCTGTGAGAAATGAGCTCTGCAGAGGCAGGCAGCACCGTGCTGAAGGACAGGGCATTGGTAGGACATCATGTAGTATCATGGAGGATTGAAATGAGCAGGACAAGTTTGGAAAGGGCTGTGAACTTCAGGGCATCAACCAGGTCCCAACGAATGGGGGCTAAGAGGAATTTTTGTAGCAAGCTGGTTTGCAACTCTCTCCCATGGTGTCTTCCCAGGAAGCATCTCTTGTTGGCCAGAGGGTGGGAGAAGACATGGGGCAAACCAGATTATGGGCTGGTCCAACCTGCCCCATCCATCTGTGCTCCCTTCTCCCCTCATGGATGTGCAGGGTAGTGTGACCTGCTCCATGAAATATCAGAAGGCTGGGTCAGTGCAACTATTTGGAGCTGTAGCTGCATGAAGTTTTTGCTCAGGTTGGAGCAGGGGGACTGAGTGAGAAATATTGGTCATTCTGGGATGATGCTGTTGCAAAGCTGCCCAGGGAACAACCTGCATGTTGTCTGCTCCGGGGATGCCTCAGTGCTGGGTGCTTGGTTGAGGTGCTGTGTGCATGTGTTTTACATCTCTGTCTCCCTCAGGAAGTGTCATTTCATGGTCTGTGATTCAATGGGTCTTTTTTTTAAAGTATGTGGCCCATGTGTAAAGAAACGGGGGGGTTGCACTTGCAGGTAAACCCACCGAATTAGAAGGGAAAGCATCAAAATCATCAGCTAATGATTGATGATCATCATGAGCTAATTCTGTATATTGGTCCAAAGCGTTGCTGTCAGTGGGGACCTCACCAGGTCACACAGCCAGGAGTGTCCTCAGAGCCTGGGAAAAGCACCAGAGACCTGAAACTCTTCCCAAAACGTGCTCCTTTCAATGAAAAAAAAAAATCAATGAACCCCCCCTCCTTTAATGCTTGAAGCATTAAAAAAACCCAAACGACCCTTTCAAGATCCATTCTCTTCCAGCAACTCCCAGTTTGGATCGGGGGAGTTTTTAACTGGGAGGTTCTCCCCTCTCTCCTCCTGCGAGGAAGAGGAGGATGAAGGCAGGAACACAGCTCTGTTTATGCTGGTACCAGATCTCGGGCTACATGATCTCATCTAATTTCAAGTGATTCCAAATGAACTCCCATCCAAAGAACATCCTTTTAACGTTCCCCTATCAGCCCCTTCTGATCTTCCTGCACGACCGTGAGATCATTCAGGAATAATCACGGCACTGTGAGTTGCAAATACCTAAACAAGCTGATGGGGAGAAAAAGGATCCCGGGCACCGCCCTGGAAACCGCTGCTGCCTTAAAAAACCCGAACCCCAAAACCAGAGCATGAAGTTTATACACCCTGTCCTGGGGGGGGATGCACAACTGCAACAGATGCCCCCCGGGAGAAATCATTTGGGGTAAAAATGGAAGTATTGAAGGATGGGGAGGGTGTTATTTGGAAGGAAATAGATCTTTTCCTTCTCTGCCTGGGTTGTTGGTGGGGTTTTTTTTGTGTTGAACGGGGGCAAATATGGG